AATGTCCAAAACCAGTCCATTTCAGCTCACTAATGCCTAGGATATCAGTCTTTATGCATTCCATTTCATTTTTGACAGCTTCCAATTTTCCTAGATTCATACTTCATGTATTCCATGTTCTGATTATTAATGGATGTTTGCAGCTGTTTCTCCTTAATTTGAGTCATGTCACATCAGCAAATGGAGGTCTGGAAAGGTTTACCTTATCCATATGAGTAAGGCTGGTTTTACTCTGATAATGCAGTTCTTTCTCAGTCCTCTTTTGAGAGCCTTCTAACCTAAGTGACTCATCCTCCTCCTCTGTATTGGCAGTGTTTCTGGACTATTCATAAAGTTGTGCAGTAATAGATCAGACAGAGTTTCTCTGCTATTCATAAGATTTTCCCGGCTAATTTTTGAGAAGTGGATGGCTTAGTCCTTCTTCCTATTCTGTCTCAGTTTTCAAGCCACGCTGTTATCTGTGTATCATGTGTACCCTGGTGGGTTTGAAACACCAGTGGCACAGTCTCAAGACTCTCAGCAACACATCACCCCAGTAGGACAAACTGACAGACAAGTTTGTCTCTCTTAGCTGTTTGAAACCTCTCCAACCTCCCCTTACCTGGATCCCTACTGCTGCCTCTTCACTCTGTCCCAGTCCCCATGCCCTTTTTCTGTCCTTTCCTCTACCTTCCCCCCTGCCACTTGTGGGGTGTGGCCTGAGTTTCCTCCCCTCACCTTGATCCCTGCGGCTGACTCTTCGCTCTGGCCCTGTCCCCCTAGCCTTTTTCTGTTCTTTCCCCATGCATATGTATATGTACACATGTTGTTTTTCTTGTTGTTATGTGCTGTCAAGTCGTACCCCTCCTTGGGTTTCTGAGGCAATATCACTACGGAAGTAGATTGCCCCATCTTCCTTCTGAGGAGTGGCTGGTGGGTTTGAACTGCCAGCCTTCTGGTTAGCAGTCAAGTGCCTTAGGCACTATGCTACCAGAGCTCCCATGTACACATATATACACAGATATATACATGCATATGTTTGTGCATAATGCACATACATGTATAACACATATACACATGTATACATACATATACATATACATATACATAAATGCACACACACATGTAACGCACATGTATACACACATGTACGTACATACATACATATACATACATATGCACACACATATCCGTGTGTGTGTGTATACACACACACATATCCATATCTGTACATCAAAAAACCAAAGAAACCAAATTCACCATCGTCGAGTGGGTCCTGACTCATAGGGACCCCTCCCTGAGTTTCTGAGGCAGTATCTCTACAGAAGTAGATTACCCGATATTCCTTCCTAAGAGTGGCTGGTGAGTTTTAAGCACAGCCTTCTGGTTAGCAGTCACATGCCTTAGGCACTATGCCACCAGAGCTCCCATATGTATACATACATACATACACACACACACACACAAATCTCTTTATATTCATGTATACATACATATGTGTGTGTATTAAATACTTTTTTTTTTCAGATATCTTACCATAAGATTATTTTTAAACTCCAAAGACATACAATCTTCTGGTAGAGTATTTGTTTTGGGGAACACTGATAATATTATCAGTTCATTTGTGTGGAATGAGCTTCATATAAAAAATAAAACCACTCCTAAAAAATATTCAGACTACTCACTGTACATGTTTATACCTACTTATAATACGGAGCTCAGGTGGTGTAATGCCTAAGGCATTTGACTGCTAACCAGAAGGCTGGTAGTTCAGACCCACCAGCCACTCCTCGGAAGGAAGGTTGGGCAATCTACTTCCGTAGTGATACTGCCTTAGAAACTCAAGGAGGGGTCGCTATGAATTGGGTCCGACTTGATGGCACATAACAACAACAACAGCAACACTTATAATACATGTTTAGGAGCTCCAGTGGCATAGTGCCTAAGGCATGTGACTGCTAACCAGAAGGCTGTGGTTAAAACTTACCAGCCACTCCTCAGAAGGAATATCAGGTAATCTATTTCCGTAGAGATACTGCCTCGGAAACCCAAGGAGCGGCTGCTATGAGTTGTATCCGACTCGATGGCAGTGAGTATAATACATGTTTAAGGAGCTCTGGTGGCGTAGTGCTTAAGGCATATGACTACTAACCAGAAGGTTGGCTATTCAAACCCACTAGCCAGTCTGTGGAAAGAGGACTTGGGTAATCTATTTCTGCAAAGATTTATTGCCATGGAAATCCAAAGGGCGTTGCAATGAGTCTGAATCGACTCAATGGTTGTGTTTGGTTTTGGTTTGATCATACATGTTTATTTACTTACTAGATTTCAAATTATAATTTAAGGAAGTTCACAAATATAAATAAAATATGTTTAGATAAGAATGGAAAATAGAGTTTAGTCAATCTGAATCAAAGAAATTTATTTTAGGGAGTGGTTTCTTAGGTGCTGCAAGAGCTACAAAGTCCAAAGGTACAGAGAGAGGCAATCTAGAGTTAATCTCCAACAGGAAATTGTTACTATTTCTAGGCTCCAGGAACAAAGTGAAGTGGTGGTGCTACATTGTTACTGTGTTACTTGATGCAGAATGGAACCCTGGTGAGCCTCTCTCTTGGAAGGTAGAGCCAGAGAAGGAGATACTGCCCAAGACTTAAAGAGAGTAGTAGAAATACCCTGCCTTTTCTTCCCTCCTCCAGTGTCCCAATGATGCTTCCTATTGGTTAACCTTGTCTGGAGGACAGCTGATCTGTTAGTCCTGGTAACTCATCCTGCAAAAGTCAGCTCTTCTCATATATAGGGTAGATATGGGGGTGGACTAGAAATGTTTCTGATATATTATGACATATAATGCAGGGCTGGTACAACAGATAAAAATATGGCTAAGGGATAATCACAGCCAGGAAATAAAATATAGGGAAGAATAAGAATGATGCCTGGTACTCAACTAAGATAGCACAGTCTTGCTGTGTTACATGATAGGCTGTGAGCATTTCAGGGTAGGATGGTACCTCATTCATGTTGTCGTCCCTAGCCCCTGCTCACATGATGCCAGTATGCTGTGACTACAAAAGGACATGAGGACAATATCTTCTGACACCCCCTACCCCTTACGTCACAAGGGAGAAGAAGGATCCAGAACTACATGAACAGCTCAAGGCTGATTCCTGTGAAGTAGAGGTCAGGCATGCTGCCAGCTTTCACCCTTCCCACCAACCAAGACTCTATCTACTTCCCTGCTGGGTTCGATAATTTGTTGTAGTGATCACACAATTTATAGACAATACTCATAATTTTGGGGTTTGTTAGAGAAGCAACAGGTTACAGTTCAGGTTTAGGAACACTTAAGATATAATTCTTTGATCGGAACAGCCTCCCCTCGGCCATGCCTGTAGGCACATCTCTGTTTGGCCCTGGCCTCTCAGCATTGCCTCTGCCTGCTCAGGCAAGTGTTGCAAAGTTCTTTATGCTCTTGCACCCAACTCTGGCAAGCAAGCCTCTTGCCTGAAGGCACTCAACTTTCTCGTTCCATGAGCTGGGAAGCCCACTGCTCTGTCTCTTGCCAGTCTCTTGAGTCTGTTGCTTCTGCTGCTGCTGTCTTTGTGCCGTCTATCCAGTGCAGGGACCTCAGGTCCAAAGGTCTCACTCCACTTCAGGCTCTGTATCTTAATGGTAGTGAAATCCTCCTTTTCCACCTTGGATGGCTCATTTCAAGCCTAGTGGATGGCAAAACTGACCCATCGCCATGTTAGGGTTCTATACACCTTGTTTGCACAAGTCCCACGCCAACAAGGGTGCATGTACCTTATTTATGTTACTAACAAATGAATAAGAAAGACCAAAGAAGAGTTGATGCTTTTGAGTTGTGGTGCTGGCGAAGAATGCTGAAAGTACTATGGGCTGCTAAAAGAACTAACAGATCTGTCCTGGAAGAAGTGCAGCCAAGATGCTCTTTGGAAGCAAGAATGGCCAAACTTCGTCTCACCTACTTTGGTCATGTTGTCAGAAGGGACCATTCCTTGGAGAAGGATATCATGCTTGGTAGGGTGGAGGGTTGACGAAAGAGGGGGAGGCCTTCAACAAGATGGATTGACACAGTGGCTGTGATGATGGGCTCAAGTATAGCAGGGATCATGGAGCTGGCATGGGATTGGTCAGTGTTTCATTCTGCTGTGCGTGGGGTCGCTATGAGTTGGAAATGATGACACCTAACAACAACAACAACAACAACAAATGATCCAGTCTCCTTGGTGGGCCGCAAATACCTCACATTTGCAGAGTTCCACCCAGTCATCTGGTGGAAGTTGCAAAGACCATGGCTAGAAGAGCCATATTAAATAATTTACAGAGATGTAAGCAATTCATGAATATTGATTAAAAAGAAATAATGAAAGACTCATTGAGAAGATTGAAGTCAGGGGCACAACTTCTGGGAAAACTTGAATATTCTTACCCTTAAGGTGTATGTTTTTGGGACAAGATTTTGTCACTTGGAGCAATGCTATTCAGTAACTGTTATTTAGGACTTTTGTCTTTCTGTTTTGTAACAGTTTCCGTTAGACACTCAGTAATTGTTGTTTCACAGATTATAGATTTTGATTGATGAATATAATAACTGTTTTATTCCTGCATAATAAGGAAAACCTGGTCATTATAAACTCAAAATCATGTTTACCTTTTACTTAAATGAAGTTTGTTTGTACTGATGATTGTAGCTTCTCTTGCAGCATAACTCGCTAATAGGGACATGATAATTTACAAAAAGATTAAAAGCATTTTTAGACCTACTGAAAATATTTTGTTTTCTAGATAATGGTCTCTTCTCACGTCTAGAGGAAAGTTGAGCAATTCCTTGTAATGAATAGCAGTGGAAATTAAAATAATTATGCTTTTCTGTTTTTCCCTTCAGGAGACCTAAGTGAAAATAAAGACATTTATTGCTATTTTAAAAATTTCATTAATAAAGCAAAGTAAATTTTCTTTTACTGCTTTGGTATAATTCTGTTTCACTTGATCACATTTAGGCTGCAGATCAAATTAAGAAGCTATATAATCTCTTCTTGAAAATTGATGCTACTCAGGTGGAAGTGAATCCCTTTGGTGAAACTCCAGAAGGACAAGGTAAAAAAAGAAAAAGCAAAAACAAGTGAATATATTATAATTATTTATGCAAACTATAAATTACACAAAAGACTGTTGCAGCAGCTTTGCATTAAATTCTTTCAGTAATTTAATTTCTGTCATAATTTCAAATGCTCCCATGATGCAGTTGAATATTTCAGTACTTGGATTTGTTGGCAGCCAAATGCCAGGCCTCAGAGGAAGCAGCTTTTTGTTTTACTAGAAACATCCATTCACCTTGCCTCATTCTTTCTAGCTCATTCCTGGTGCTAGTATATAAAGATTTGGATGGGAATGGGAGTCACTGAACTTGTGTGTAGTGAATACATATCCTTTCATGGAACTACTACTTTTTGAAGTATATAGCTTTGCTTAAATCTGTACATAGTGTCACCATGTACCCCGACTTTAGTTATGTGATCATGGTGAAGTCACTACTGCCCCTCGAATCTAATAACTCTTTTACCTTACTTGGTCAATAGCATCCTTTTCAGATGGGAAAAAGGAGGCCTTTTTGTGGGAAATGTTTCTCCTATCTTTTACTTCTAGTGTTTCAATATTTAACTATTTCATATATCAGTACCAGCCACCATTGCACTATATTTTACACAATACACATATCAAGTAAGTTCTTATTAATTTGATAGCAACAGCGTGCGGATATGTGTTTGGAGAGGCAGAGAGGTGGTAGATGAGATAGTGGTACCAGATTATAAGCGGATATGTGTTTGGAGAGGCAGAGAGGTGGTAGATGAGATAGTGGTACCAGATTATAAGTTCATTTTGAACCTTGTCTTTCTTAGTATATTTCACACATGCATCTTACATGGTGCCTGGCATGTCATGTTGTTAGCTGCCGTCAAGTCAGCCCTCAAGTCGTGGTAACCCTGTGTGCAGTATCATTTTGATCCGTTGTGAATCAGATTATTGTGATGCATAGGGTTTTCATTAGCTCATTTTCAGAAGTAGATCACCAGGACTTTCTTCCTAGTCTATCTTAGTCTAGAAGTTTTGCTACAGGCTGTTTAGCATCATAGCAGCATGCAAGCATCCACTGACAGACAGGTAGTGGCTGTGCATGAGGTGTATTGACCAGGAAATGGACCTAGGTACCCTGCATGGAAGGGGAGAGTTCTACCACTGAAATATCACTGCCTTCGCATGTTGTAGGTAGTTAGTAAATAGGGATTTGCCATTGGATTGGTACATGGAATTAACCATTATGTACACACACAACCAAGTTGTGGTACCCATGTGAATGATACAACTTTTTTCTATTTAGCATAGTTCAGGGGTTGTGTAGTCAGTTTTGGAAACACTAAAACATCATAGTTTTGGAACCCACAGAGGCCTCAGTTCAAATTCAGATCTGCTATTTCCTGGACATAGACCTGGACAGGTTTCTTAGCCTACTTAAACCCTAGGTTTTTACTAGTTCTTTTAATCCAGTCAAGTAGTAAAAAGGATACCTATTTCATTGGGGGTTTTAAAAATGAGGTGAGATGGTGTTTGTACAAACATCCTGTGCTAGCCACAACACAGCCCCATGGCAAATCCAATGAAGGCTAGTTGTTTCTCACATCAATAAGATATAGCCCCTTTTTGTGAATAGAACATGAATACTTCAGGAAAGTGAAGCTTACAGGTTAGGAGAGGCAAAGAGTTCAGGTTTTGGAAGCCCTTGAAAGCAATATATTTCATGGTTTATACAAGTACCACCAGGTAAAAATCTGCTAGGTCAGAGTCATAAATAAAACAATTTTATTAAAAATATTTTAAAAATTACTGTGGCAGTAAAGTCATTGGTATTTCATGTAGAGAGAAAGGGAAGGGGAAGAAAATTGTTTCTTGAATTCATGTGCCAGGCATTGTGCTAAGCTTTTATATGCATTCTTTTTTATGCTATAGCACAACCATACAAAGTTAGAAGTTGTTATTGACATAAAAAAAAATTAATGTAACACCCCATGAGCAAATAGTTGGTTACTGGAGCTGGGATTTGAACCTGTGCCCCTCTGAGTCCAGTGTGCATGTTGATTCTTAGTCTGACTTAAAGTGGCCTACCTTCTTTCTATTTTTTTTTTCCTTTTAAAATAATAATTTGCCTTCCTCAGAGTGACCTAGAGGTAATCTTTAGTTTGGGAATACCAGTCAAAATCCATGCTTCATTGGGTTGTTGATAAGTAAAGCTAAGAATTGAAAGAGAAGAAGTTCAATATACAAGTTTTTAAAGGTCATAAATTGCCTTTCAAAATAGTTGGCAACAAGACCAGGATATTTCACATTAAAAAAAAAAATAGCAACAACAAGAAAAGGAAACTCAGCCATGGAGCAGGATAGAAATCAGGCTACAATAGTATTTTCGTTCAGCTCTCTTGGAAGCAGGCAGTCGCCAGCTGTGGTGGGGCATGTGTGGAACTTTTTCCTTGAGGGTGTTTGTAAAACCTCATGATGTCAGAATTTTTCTTTTTTAATTATTAAGAGAAGGAAAATTCTTGCACTTTTTTGAAGGAAGCATCATAAAATATGTTCAGTGTATGCAGTTCATTAAAACATACATCTTATGTGATATTTTTAAGAGCTAAATTATCTTTAGCTATTAATTTGTTTGTTGGACCATAAAAGTTCAGCTATTGAAGTATAATCGCAATTAAATGAATATGTTGGTTTATAATTCTAATGAGTAGTCATCAAATTAAACCCAATTAGGAAACTGTGATTAATGACCAAATGTACAAATTGATCTTCATCATTGTCCCAGTCCCCTAAAGCAATCCTTTATTTAAGAGCTGTAGAAGCAGTCATTTGCATCTTAACAATACCAATAATATTTATAATCTGAATATTTCAATTTTTTCTAGTTAGATCTATAATAGCAGAACATATGACCTTCCACATTATGTTTTTGACTTCATAATTACTCTTTTAATTTAGAAGTTGAAGGACCTTGACATCACACAAAGGATTTTTACTTTAAAACTACACATTAAAACCTTTCTTTTAGCATTTATATTATTGTACCTTGAAACATTGCAGAGCAAGAGAATTTCATTGGTTTTCCATTACTGAAAGAGTAACATTAAAACAAAAATACTTACTGTCATATATTTACATAACATTGGATACATGGTTGAATGGAAAGCAGTGATCTTTATAGCGTCTATCCTGTGAGGTCACCCATGGAGAATTTTTGGCACAGAGAAAGAACTCCTTTTTTCAATATAATTAGTAATCTGATTCAAAGAATATAATCGTCACTACTGAGTGTAATTCAGAATAGTGACTATTAAACAGTTGCCATCAGGTAGATTCTGAGTCATCATGACCCTATGTGTGTCATAGTAGGACTGTGCTACTTAGGGTTTGCACTGGCTGATTTTTCAGAAGTAGATTGCCAGGCCTTTCTTTTGAGTACGTCTGAGTGGACTTGAATCTCCAACCTTTTGGTTAATAGATGAGTGCAGAAGTAGATTGCCTAACCTTCCTTCCAAGGAGTGGCTGGGGAGTTTGAACCACCAGCCTTCTGGTTAGCTGTCAGATGCCTTAGGCACTATGCCAAGAGAGCTCCTTAATCATTGTACTACCCAGGGACTCTTTAGTGACTATTAGGACTGTGTTGACTGCTTACCTATATCAGTCTACCTTTTGTTAAAATGCGAGGAAGAGGAATATTTTATTTGATTCATTTAACAGAGAAGTCTAAGGAGTGGGTTGACACTGTGGCTATAACAATGGGCTCAAGCAGAGTGGCTGTTATGAAGATGGCACAGGACCAGGCAGTGTTTCATTCTGTTGTACTTTCTAGGGTCACAGTGAGTCAGAACCAACATGTTGGCACCTAGCAACAGCAACAACAAAGGAGTAGATTAACTTCAGGCGTGAAGCTAATCAGGGATTCTCTGGTCGTCTTGTACTTAGCCCTGCTTGTCACTAAATCAGCTTCTTCTTCAGCCAAGCTCTCTGAAGCTGGCAGTGAAGATGGCCCCCAGATCATATCATTCTCCTCCAACAACCACAGCAATCTTGGCAAACAGTTGGCCCTGCTTGAGTCAAATGGCTACCCTTAGACCAGTCACTGAGCTAGAATCACATATTGTATGAGAGAGGCACATTCTCAGTGGAAGAATGATGCTGAGTCAAAACACGTCTACCAGGACATCCTAATATTTTGCTTTATTGAAATGAAAGTAAACTGTTACTAAAGAGAACAAACAACAACAACAACAAAAGAGAACTTGGCTCATTTTCATTTCTTGTCTAATTTCAATTATGTCCATTAAACCAGTGGCCAAGTAAGAAACAGTATATTCTTTAATTATCATTATTTGTTTCTCAGCCTGTGACAGGATTTTAAGTCATATTTAATTTCTCCCCACTTTGAGCCAGGTCTGCCTTTCTTTAATGTCTCTGAGGCTATGATTTTCGGTGGGGGAGGCACATTTTGCCACCTCCCTCCTCTTTTCCCCCAGGGACATTTAACAATGACTGTAGATTAAAATAGGAGGTCTGGTGGTGCTATGGTTAATGCATTTGGCTGCTAACCAAAAAGGTCAAAGCACCAGGTGTTCCACAGGAAAAAGATGAGGCAGTCTGCTTCCATAAGGATTTAGTCTTGGAAACCCTATGGGGGTCGCTATGAGTCGGAATCCACTAGATGGCAGTGGGAGGGGTAGGTATTTTTGGTTGTCACAACTGGAAGTTCTACTGTTATCTAGTGGATAGAGGCCAGGGATACTGCTAAATATCCTATAAATCTCAAAACAGCTCCTTACAGCAAAGAATGCTAGCCAACGTGTAGGCTTGAGATAAAGAATTCCTGCTCTAAGGCATCTGTATCAGTTGGAGCCCAACTCCATTCACTAGACTAAAAAATCTGACCCAATTTAAAACAGTGACACTCTGTCCAAGATTATTTAAGAATTAGGTCTGGGTGATCCAAAGTTAACTGGCACATCAAATTCCTTTCTTCAGATTGATTTCTCTAAATAGCCACCCTGTTG